GCCGGTCGACTCGTGTATGGCGGATGGCTCTTAGTGCATGATGATAGGTTAGGTTAGGTTTAGTTGTGTGTGTGTGAGTGTGTGTGTGTGTGTGTGTGTGTGTGTGTGTGTGTGTGATTTATGAATGTCGTGTATGTAGCGGTAGTTGAATGATAAAATACGTACACACACGCTCACGCTCACACACGCACATTCACACTACCTCTTACAGTTCACTGATATTCACACACACACACACACACACACACACACACACACACACAAACACCAGGATCAGGTAAACAACACAAACAAACAAAAACTACACATCACCAAACAGTTCACAAAAATACCACATTAAATATATTTTAAAAAGTCGACAAAAGTCACACAAATACACATCTATAAACAAAAGCTATTAATTAAAAAAAGAAAGACAAAACCTCCTTTATGTTTCAGATAATTTCTTGTATTATTTAAGAAAAACAAATTAAATAGATTGTTTTACTGAACGAAACAAGAACAAAACAGGAATCTTCATCACATAAACACGTCTACTTCTCGTCTTGTTTACACCATGATTGGAGCTCATGATCCCAGGAAATTAATTTGAGGACGATGACTTAACTCCTTGAGGACGATGATGAACCTCAGATGATGACTTAACTCCTTGAGGACGATGATGAACCTCAGATGATGACTTAACTCCTTGAGGACCATGACCTGACTCCTTGAGGACGATGATTTAACTCTTTGAGGACGACGATGAACCTCGGAGGACGATGACTTGATTCACCTATTAATTCATTGCTTGAATTCATCGTATTCAGGGAGTTAAATCATCGTACTCAAGGAGTTAACCATCGTATTCAAGAGGTCAAATAATTGTACTCAGGGGGTTAAATCCTCGTACTCAGGAGGTAAGTATTTTAATAATAGAATTAGTAAATAAGAAGAACATTTTCCCCCACAAAGGACCATAACACAACACGTAAAATATTATTCCAAGGTTCCAACAATGTCCTAAACGTGAACAGACACATTATATATATATTGAGTCGTCTCATATACACAACTACTGAAGATGTTAATGTATTTGTTAATTTTCTTCGTTGTATGAGAGTGTGGGACAGAGCAGGAGAAAGATGACACTTGATTGATATGTGATCTTTGAGATTAGGAATACCTCGAGTTTTTTTATGGGTGAATGTAAATACGCATCTCTTTGGTAAGAATCTGTAAATGCATAACTATTGAAATCTGCAAATAAATCCATTGTAAAAAAAATATATATCTCGATTCCGTGGACGTATGTAAATTGCTCTTCAGTAAAAAATATAAAAGTGGACGAACGTGAAATCAGAAAGAGATGTGCATGAAGCCGTGACTGTCCTTGGTGACCAGTGACACCATGACATGACCAATACCCCCCCCCCCTCCCACCACCTCTCTCCCTCCATCCAAATCGTACATCACCTCCCCCCCCTCCCTCCACCCTGTCTCTCTCACCTTCCTCCTTAACTCTCCTTCACTCAAAGTCATTCATCTCCCTCTCTCTCTCTCTCTCTCTCTCTCCTCAGTATTCCTACTTCCGTCCCAACCATCTATCTCCCCTTCCTTCCTTCCTTCCTTCCTTCCTTACTGTATACTCAGTTTTCTCTTCCTCCTCCTCCTACCATACACCCCTCCTTCCTACCATACACCCCTCCTTCCTACCATATACCCGTCCTTCCTACCATACACACCCCTCCCCTTCCTACCATACACCCCTCCTCCCCACCATACACCTCCTCCTCACCACACCTCCTTCCCACCATACACCCCTCCTTCCCCACACACCCTCCTTCCCCACACACCCCTCCTTCCCACCATACACCCCTCCTTCCTACCATACACCCCCTCCTTCCTACCATACACCCTCCTTCCTTCCATACACTACTCCCTCTTCTCTCAGAAATCCTTCACACTATCGTCCTTCACCACCCCCCTCCCTTGGTCCTCTCACTTTCCGTGATCACAAGCATATGGAAGCTTATATCTGTGACAAGTGACACTCCCCCTCCCCCCCTCTCCCTCCCTCGTTGCGTTACACTATAAATTCTCATGTAGGGAACACGTGAACCACTCCTGCTGTGCCTTCGTCAGAGTACACAGTTCAGCCTTGCTCTGCTGTGGACCATCGTAAGGTTAGTGAGTCTACCTGAACTCGGTTACCTGAGGCATACAACAGTGACAATTTACATAAAGTGTCATTTTTTCTTAATCTGCTTCGCATTATACGTGAAAAAGTGTACTACAGAAGTGATATGTTACTGTTACTTGTGATTTAAGTGATGTTTTAAAGGTGAAGGTGAGACTCTTAAGTGAAGAAATACCTGGTGACTGTATGTGCCACTACCTGGTGACTGTTTGCCCCACTACCTGGTGACTGTATGTGCCACTACCTGGTGACTGCCCCACTACCTGGTGACTGCCCCACTACCTGGTGACTGTTTGTCCCACTACCTGGTGACTGTTTGCCCCACTACCTGGTGACTGTTTGCCCCACTACCTGGTGACTGTATGTGCCACTACCTGGTGACTGTATATGCTACTACCTGGTGACTGTATGTGCCACTACCTGGTGACTGTTTGCCCCACTACCTGGACTGTATGTGCCACTACCTGGTGACTGTCTGCCCCACTAATTGGTGACTGTCTTACTACCTGGTGACTGTTTGCCCCACTACCTGTTGACTGTTTGCCCCACTACCTGGTGACTGTATGTGCCACTACCTGGTGACTGCCCCACTACCTGGTGACTGTATGTACCTGGTGACTGTTACACTGTGACTACCTGGTGACTGCCCCACTACCTGGTGACTGACTACCTGGTGACTGTCCCACTACTGGTGACCTGGTGACTGCCCCACTACCTGGTGACTGCCCCACTACCTGGTGTGCCCCACTACCTGGTGACTGCCCCTGCCCCTACCTGGTGACTGCCCCACTACCTGGTGACTGTCCCACTACCTGGTGACTGTACCTGGTGACTGCCCCACTACCTGGTGACTGTGACTGCCCCACTACCTGGTGACTGCCCCACTACCTGGTGACTGACCCCACTACCTGGTGACTGCCCCACTACCTGGTGACTGTGCCCACTACCTGGTGACTGCCCCACTACCTGGTGACTGCCCCACTACCTGGTGACTGTCCCACTACCTGGTGACTGTCCCACTACCTCCCACTACCTGGTGACTGCCCCACTACCTGCCCCACTACCTGGTGACTGCGGTGACTGCCCCACTACCTGGTGACTGGCCCCACTACCTGGTGACTGCCCCACTACCTGGTGACTGCCCCACTACCTGGTGACACTGGTGACTCCACTACCACTGCTGGTGACCTGACCACTACCACTACCTGGGTGACTTCCCACTACCTGTGTTGACTGCCCCACTACCTGGTGACTGCCCACTACCTGGTGACTGTCCCTGTGACTGCCCCACTGGTGACTGCCCCACTACCTGGTGACTGTACCTGGTGACTGCCCCACTACCTGGTGACTGCCCCACTACCTGGTGTGACCTGGCCCCACTACCTGGTGACTGTCCCACTACCTGGTGACTGCCCCACTACCTGGTGACTGCCCCACCTACCTGGTGACTGCCCCACTACCTGGTGACTGTCCCACTACCTGGTGACTGCCTGGTGACTGCCCCACTACCTGGTGACTGCCCCACTACCTGGTGACTGCCCCACTACCTGGTGACTGCCCCACTACCTGGTGACTGTCCTACACTACAGTAACACAGTGTAGGTGACCTGAGGTGATGATTGTGTTGTCTCTACTGTACAGTTATATGTTATTGAGACTTTCCTTGACTGCACAAAGACAAGGTAATATAGAGCTATATGAATAATTATAGACATAAATATACATGCATACATACAAACATACATACATACATACATACATACATACATACATACATACATACATACATACATACATACATACATACATACATACATACATGCATACATACATACATACATACATACATACATGCATGCATACATACAAACATACATACATACATACATAAATACATACATACATACATACATACATACATACATACATACATACATACATATAATTTCCTATATATCGAATTACCATCATAAATAAGCACAGTCCCCTTCACTAGTGCCTTTACAGGGGCTCGTCAGGTTTCGTGCAGTGTTCAGCGCTCTTGTTTTGTTTTCATTCAACAGAAGGAACTTGCAATAGTAAACATACTCTAGAATTAAATTAAAACATTAAAACAACTATCTCAATGTAATGATTCGTGGAATGTTTATAGGACTAGCCACGATAAACGCACTAGTGAAAGGAACTGTACAGTCGGGGTCAAAAGTCTTGAACACTTGACGGTATTTGGCATGTAAGTACCCGAAGATCTTAGGTATTAAGGAGAGTTTTATCCCATTTTGTGGTTCAGGCATAATATGTGATGACCAGTAGTGTTATTAGTGTATCCCAATCATATATGTGTAACTCACGAGTAGATGCCAGATATTGCTAAGTGTTCAAGACTTTTGACCCTAACTGTACATCAACACATTACCTTTGCAAAGTCCCCCTGACTAAAACCCACACACACACACACACACACACACACACACACACACACACACACACACACATGATGATAACATTACCCAGGAGAATAAGGTTAAATATCGTCTCAGTTACTTGAAACACTTTCACTCGTCACCTGACACTTGTGGAGGGAGACAACATACTGGGGGAGTACATCACGGTGACAGCAACAACCAGGTCAGCGGCTCGCGGCTCATCTGGGCGATAAAGTCCTCTCGGGTCAGCCCACAAAGCATAGAGAAATTGCACAGAGGGAGCGGCGCGTGATTGGACTTTATTCCCAAATGAGTTGCCGAGACGCGGGGGTTCCAATCACCGCTGTTCTAACCTGTGGAATTTCTCTTTGCAGGATGTGGCGTTTGACGGCGACGCTGCTGGTGGCTGCCCTGGCCTCAGCCTCTCCTCAGGGAGGCTACAACAACTACTTTGCGCCCGGACATGGCAATCCATTCCGTCCAGTAGGTCCAATAGGTCCAATTGGTCCAATCGGCCCAGTCAATCCAATCGGTCCATTTGGTCCTGGTCCAATCGGTCCAATTAACCCAAATGGTCCATTCGGTCCTGGTGGGTGTCCCGCTATCACCTCCGTCATGTTTGATACCCGCGTGCAGACCGCAGTTCAGGTGCAGACCGTGAACCAGGCCAACACACAGATCATCACTACCACCATCGTCAGACAACAGGTGGTGCCAACCACGGTGTTCAGGACTCGCATCCAGACACAGACACAGTTCCAGACGAGCATCATCCAGAGCACGACCTTCATCGCCAATGACAGAGTGGTGACACAGACCATCCCAGGATCGGGTCGAGTGGAGACCCGTTTTGTCACGACGACCCGCGTCGTGCCACAGGTCAGCTTCATCACCCAGACACAGTTCTTGACCCAAGCGGTGTCAGTAGAGGTCACTAAGACACAGATCCAGACCATCAACCAAGGTCAGACAAGCTTCTTTACCCGGACGATAGAACAGACGCAGTTCATTACGGTGCCAGGCAGGGATGTTGTACGCACCAGAGTCCAGACGGTCGTTCAGACGTCCATCGTGAGGCGGGAGGAGCAAGGCAACACCCGCTTCGTCACCACCACCATCTTCCAACAGCAGACACAGACGTCTTTCGTCCAGGGACAAAACGTCATCAGAACTAGCATCGTCCAGCGCCAACAGGTCATCCCCTTCACCACATTCAACACCCGCTTCGAGGACGCCTTCACCACACGCGAGCAGGTCATCACCAGCACCAACTTCATCACACAGACTCAGTTTCAGACCCAACAAAATACCCAGGAGGTCACGCAGACCCAGGTCATCACCAACACCATTTTCACCACCGTCATCCAGACCAGATTCGATCCTTTCACGCAGGTACAGACGGTGTTCCAAACCCAGTTTGTCACTCCCAACCCAGTTATCCGCTCACAGGTTCTGACCCGCACATCTGTGATTCAGCTGCCAGGTCAGGACCGCGTGGTGACCCAGCAGGTGATACAGACGCAGCAGCAGCAACAGATTGTGTTCCAGACTGTCAACAACGCTCAGCAAGTTGTAGTGACACGGACTGTGACTGGCACCTGCGGCGGCCAGACTGGAGGAGGTGGAGGTGGAGGTGGAGGAGGAGGATTCGGCTTCAGCTCTCCGTCTACACCGTTCAACTACGGCAAATAACTCGTTCATGCCAGAGAAACAAGGGACATATTGTCCACTTCGTTAAGTCTGCCAGCATGTAACTACACTTGGAGGGGCACAGTATAAAGCAGATCACATCCTTACCGGCAGTATTCATTCTACGGAATACAGACATATTATTGTAATATTAAATTCTCTTGTATTTATGTACATTAAACTTAGTACGATAATGATACATTGTTTCCCTTACTAGCCTGACCACAGAGACGAGGAGTATCAAGGGTGAGTCCTGCTACACTGTCCTCATTCACTTGTTATATTTGTTATTCTCGTCTTCCACAAACTTGGATAAGAATTTTGATGGTGTTCTCCTCTACAGGATGCGGGTGTTCTTCATATCCTTAGTGGTGGGGTGCGCGCTGGGGGCCACTGTCGAGCGGCCTCCTCGTCAGGTGTATGGCGATCGCATCGACCTACAGCCGTCTTACCTGCCACCTACCGGACCCGCCCCATGTGAGCCAGGTGTGGTGTACAGCACTCAGGTGATCTACTCCACCGTAGTGATCCCCTCCACCGTGTACAACAACAACGAGCAGGTCATCACCCAGACTGAGGTCCGCACAGAGCAAATCTTCACCACCGCCTTCTCGGAGATAGTCAGCACCCAGGTGGTGACGTCCTTCCAGTTCCAGACAGTGACTGTGACCCGCACTGATAACAACGTCCGGACAGAATTCATCACTGTGCCAGGCCAGGTCAACTTCGTCACAAGAACAAGAGAAGAAGTACGTACCCAAGTGCAGTTCCAGACACAGTTTACAACAGTGTTCCAGCAGGTGACCACAACCATCACCAGGAACGTGTTCTCAACCGTGGTGGTGCCTCAGCAGGTGATAAGCACCATCTTCCAGACACAGACGGTGACCAGAACCCAAGAACTGCCTGGCCAGACCCGCACTATAGACAGTACCCGGTTCAGCACCGTGTTTTCCACCATATTCGTGCCCGGACAGGACGCCACCCGGACAGAAACTGTTGTGAGAACAAACTTTGTCACCCGGACCATCACACAGCCAGGCCAGACCCAGGTCATCACCTCCACCCAAATCATCCCCCTCACTAGCACCGTTTTCTCCCAGATAGTGATCACCAACACCCAGACGCAGTTTGTGACGCGCACCCAGGTAAAGCAGCAGGTGACCACCGTCTTCCGCACACAGCAGGTGCCACAGTTCAACACCAGGACCGTCACCAGGACTCAGCAGGTCGTTAGTACGCAGTTTTCAACACAGCAAGTGCGTTCAACCATCTTCAGCCAACAGGTGGTGCCCACTGTGGTCAACGTGCCTGGCCAGACACAGTTCCGCACGGTGTTCCGGACTGTGCTGAGGACACAGCAGCTGCCTGGCCGGGTCAGAACCCAGTTCGTGTCCAGAATTGTGTACATCACCAACTTTGTGACCTCCACCGTATTCAACAAGCAGTTCCACACCATCACGGCCACCCGCACCAAACAACCATACTGCAACACAGGCTACAACTACTATGGACATTAGGAAGATGAGTCGTCGTCGAGTACCATGTTCATAACTGACACATTCATGTAAATAGTTAGTTGTATGGATACCTGCCAGCAAGAAGCTTTATACTGTGCCCCGTGTTAGTGCAAGCTGCAGGTGCAACTATCACACCGATGAGTCTGTATGAACGTAATGCCGCCTGCAATATTGTCTTTGTATTTAAATTATAACATAATCACAATAGTTTCACTTCACGTCCTAATAACTACATACATGACAACCTTCTGTACTGTCTTATACACACTCTATAAGAACCTGTACTTACACAATCACTCCCGTAATTAAAATAACCTGTAATATAACTTCGATATATTCTTAATATAATAACCTAATTCTTAAGATATATTTATATACATTTATTGTTTAAATGCACCTAACCTGCCGCCATTTTGACCCCCCAAACAACAACAAAGCATTTACCACTTTCATCAACTCTTATTTTATCCACGAGAGACGAAAATAAATCAGACAAAACGAAAATAAATAACAATAAAACTACATTAAAATATTGGTCTTGAATACACAGTGGGACAGGTGAGGTCCTTAAGGTAATGTCGACAGGTGTGGACGACTGAGCCTCCCACCAGCTGATCGGTGTAAGAAGTTGACCATGATGTTACTTGTACTATAGTTTTCTCTTAGTTATTAGAAGAGAGAGAGAGAGAGAGAGAGAGAGAGAGAGAGAGAGAGAGAAAGAGAGAGAGAGAGAGAGAGAGAGAAAGAGAGAGAGAGAAAGAGAGAGAGAGGAGAAAGAGAGCGGGAGAGGGAGAGAGAGAGAGAGAGAGAGAGAGAGAGAGAGAGAGAGAGAGAGAGAGAGAGAGAGAGAGAGAGTAGGTGAGAGAGAGAAAGAGAGGAGTGGAGAAAGAGAGGGGAGGAGAGAGAGAGAGAGAGAGAGAGAGAGAGAGAGAGAGAGAGAGAGAGAGAGAGAGAGAGAGAGAGATAAACAACCTTCATGTTATTGCCTATTTTTCACCCACATTCCTCATTGACTTCCACCTAACCACAATCAACCGACTACCTATCCTTCAACCAATGACCATCCATCCCTACCTATCCTTCAACCAATGACCTTCCATCCCTACCTATCCTTCAACCAATGACCTTCCATCCCTACCTATCCTTCAACCAATGAGCTTCCATCCCTACCTATCCTTCAACCAATGACCTTCCCTCCCTACCTATCCTTCAACCAATGACCTTCCATCCCTACCTATCCTTCAACCAATGACCTTCCATCCCTACCTATCCTTCAACCAATGAGCTTCCCATCCCTACCTATCCTTCCAACCAATGACCTTCCCTCCCCACCTATCCTTCAACCAATGACCTTCCATCCCTACCTATCCTTCAACCAATGAGCTTCCATCCCTACCTATCCTTCAACCAATGACCTTCCCTCCCTACCTACCTATCCTTCAACCAATGACCTTCCATCCCTACCTATCCTTCAACCAATGACCTTCCATCCCTACCTATCCTTCAACCAATGACCTTCCATCCCTACCTATCCTTCAACCAATGACCTTCCATCTTCTCTGTCTCTCTCTCATCTTGTATCTCTCACCTCTTACCTTACCCATCGTATATGTTTCTCATTCCCTATCCTTTACCGTTTATGGCTACTCTCTCTCTCTATTTATCTAACTATAAACAAATTTTCTAAACAGCTACAAATATATATAAGGAAATTCTCAAAACAAATGAACAATGAAAGTGTAAATAGAAAACATCACGATAAACAGGAAGATAACAAAAAATAATAATAAAAACAGTAAATGTGACAACAAGGAATAACAAGAAAACAAAGAAATAATTGATAAAACAGTAGTAAACAAGGAGTGGTTTGTTGTTTGTAAGGAACAGTGGTAATAATAGGGCTGTTAAGGTATAAATCGAGCTGTTAAGGTACAAAACGGGCTGTTAGGGTAAAAAATCAGGCTGTTATGGCATAAATCGGGTCGTCAGGTTATAAATCTTGCTGTTAGGGTGAAAAATCGGGCTGTTTGTAGAAAAGGGGAGTAATAATCGGGATGTGAACATAAACCTTGGAGTGTCAGAGTTAAAATCGGGTTGTTAGGACGAAAAATCGGACTGTGCGGATATAAATGGTGTAAGAGTGAACATTAGGCTGTCAGAGTGGAAGCGGGTTGTCAGGTGAAAATCGGATTGTGAGTAAAAACTGAGCTGTCAGAGTGAAAATCGGACTGTCAGGGTGGAAATCGCACTGTTAGAGTAAAAATCGGAATTTCAGTGGAAATCAGGTTGTCAGGTGAAAATCGGACTCTCGGAGTGAAAATCGGACTGCTATAGTAAAAATCGGAAAGTTAGTGGAAATCGGGTTGTCAGAGTAAAAATCGGACTGTAAGAATGAAAATCTGACTATTAGGTAAAATCGGGCTAATATAATGAATGATTGGACTATTGAAACGCGAATTAAAAAAAGGTAAATAAATACGTGAAAATCAGATAATTAAAGTAATTATATAAAAAAAATACGAAAATTGAAAAAGGAAATAAAGTAATAAAAAAGGGACAATGGTTTATTTCTTTAAAGACAATGGTTTAACTTTTTAAGGGGGTTGGTTTATTATACCTTATGAGGAAGTTGGTTTAACTATCCATCAAGAATTTTAACACATGTAGAAACGTGTGTGTGTGTGTGTGTGTGTGTGTGTGTGTGTGTGTGTGTGTGTGTGTGTGTGTGTGTGTGTGTGTGTTTAGAAAGATACACTCATACACGGATGAAGTATACAAGAAACACCACAAAGAAATACACTGCCATAAACCATAAACCATAGAAATAAACCAATTATATGTTTAATTAGTGTAGCTTAAAGATTATACCGATCACATGAAGATTAACCCCCCCAGTTTATTTCACCTATTGACAAAACATCCTAATGCTATTTGTCGAGGTTAGGTTAGGTTAGGTTAGGTTAGGTTAGGTTAGGTTAGATTAGGTTAGGTTAGGTTAGGTTAGGTTAAGATAGATTAGGTTACGATGGTTAATCTGACAAGGGGGGGGGGGGCGTCTAATCTCCCCATAATTCATCAAATTCTTCTCAGTTTTCTTTAGGTTGAGACTGAAAACTATATACAGTAGTCCTTAACCCGTTTTCTATGTAACCTCCCAGACTGTGTCCGTTTTCTGTGATAGTTACTTCTCATGCCTGTTGTCACGTTATAGTCAGTTACTTCTCATGCCTGTTGTCACGTTATAGTCAGTTACTTCTCATGCCAGTTGTCACGTTATAGTCAGTTACTTCTCATGCCTGTTGTCACGTTATAGTCAGTTACTTCTCATGCCTGTTGTCACGTTATAGTCAGTTACTTCTCATGCCAGTTGTCATGTTGTAGTCCAGCAGTCCTTCATTGTCAAGTCCTGCCTTATCTGCTCAATTTTCTTTCGGGCAGTTTCTCATTCCAATAATAGCATTCTTCAATTACCCATTTTCTGGTGAGGTTCCCGTTTTCTATGAGTACTTTCTAATTCACATTTGATATAATTAGTTCCTATTTTCTCTGTCTATACTCTAGGTCCATTTTCTTTGACTTCCTTAACTTCCCATTTTCTTTGACTTCCTTAACTTCCCATTTTCTTTGACTTCCTTAACTTCCCATTTTCTTTGACTTCCTTAACTTCCCATTTTCTTTAACTCCCATTTGGTTCCCATTTTCTTTTGACTTTCTTCACTTCCCATTTTCTGTTGCTCATTTCCATTTTAACATTCACCTATTCCCATCTTCATTATCTCTCATTCCCATTTTCTCTGACTACCTTTCGTTCCCATTTTCTCAGACAACACTGAGGGGTGATGAAAGGTAACGGGTTAAGTGTGCTCTCAGCTGCGTCTGTCATCTTAGCGTAGATAATTTATATGTTAGCAGGAAGCTGTGGAGATGAGAGTGGCGGCGGGAGCACTAGTGTGAACCAGAGAGAGAGAGACAGAGAGAGAGAGAGAGAGAGAGAGAATAACAAAGAGAAATCAGTTGTCTTCTTCTTCTCGCCTTCTTCCTTCACCTCCTCCTCCTCCTCCTCCTCCTCCTCCTCCTCCCTCCTCCTCCTCCTCCTCTTCCTGCGATCAAATTCAAATTTATTTCCGGCCTCAGCTAACAGAACCATCATCATCTTTACACACACACACACACACACACGGTCTACTAAGTGTTATAATCAGCAAGGCGTGACAGCTGACGGTATACATATATACAGTATAGTGTATATCAAGACTTCCCACAAAGTAAAGCCTAACAGGTGGTGTGTGTGTGTGAGTATGTAAACCTTACACATAACTCATAACATAACCAAACTATTATTAGGTTAGGTTAGGTTAGGTTATTAATACAGCTATACATTTATACAAGTTTATATTATGATTATATACATATTCGAGCCTATAAAAATTATCAGTATCCTATTTCTCCCTATTTAGCATATTAACCCAATATATTAGTCTTACTTAACATATCATTGACAGGAAATTTTAATACGAGACACGCAATACCACCTCTGACCTCACACACCTGTCATTAACCACAGGTGTGTGTCATTACCTGCCGCAGCCTACCATTCACGACCCATCTGTGCGTTGGTGAGAAAAATATACCCTTGTCAAGCTATCATTTGTCTTGCCTGTACATGGGTCCGTGTCTTAACAGAGCCCCCCCACCTCTTCCTCTCCCCCCCTCATTCCTTCTTTCCTTCCTTCCTTCGTCTCCTCACACCCCTCCTCCTTCCCTTCTTTCTTCCCTCCTCCTTCCTTCCTCCCCCAACTCCACCTTCTCTTCCTCATTCCTCCATTTCCTCCTCCTTTCCCATCCTCTTTCCCTATTACCTTCCACCATCACTCCCTCACTCCCATTCCTCCTCCCATCTTTTCTTCACTTTCTAACTCCCCATTCCCGTCTCCCCCTCCCTCACCCCTTCCCCCTCCCCCTCATTACCAAAACACCATCACGTTGTTAGTACCCTCACACTCGACCTCTCAAGTGTCACTTATTGCATAATGTTATAGACTGTATCATTTATTTGCAATAGTTCAAAGGGTGAGGATGGTAGGTGGGGGAGGGGTGGGGGTGAGGGGTGAAGGGTGAGGGTGAAGGGTGAGGGGGGTAGTAGTAGCAGTAAGGTTGAACTTGAAGGACCACTACAGTTCCTTGTTCAAGTGTCCGGCTGCT